TGTTTATTGAATGGCAACTCTGTGCTAGGCATGGTATTAGGTGTTTTGTTCATTATCACTGGATAAGATACACATTATCATACAAGTGTTCCCTGTAGAAAATTGGTCTGTCAATATGCTTTGGAGGAAAAAAGATTCTGTGATCTAACAGGTTTGGGAAGTACTGGATACTTTTCCTTCTTGTTGAAAATTCTCAATGTATTGTAACATATTAAACATACTGAAATGTCATGCAGTAAAGGGGCGTTTGTCCTGGTGCTCCATGGGTTACTCGACCATGAAAATCTTATTTTATTTTATTTTATTTTTTTTGCGGTACACGGGCCTCTCACTGCTGTGGCCTCTCCCGCTGCGCAGCACAGGCTCCGGACGCACAGGATCAACGGCCATGGCTCACAGGCCCAGCCGCTCAGCGACATGTGGGATCCTCCCAGACGTGGGCACAAACCCGTGTCCACTGCATCGGCAGACGGACTCTCAACTACTGCACCACCAGGGAAGCCCAAAATCTTATTTGAGTAACACTTGCCAATGAAAACCAGTTTGAAAAATACTCCTTCAACACCACCTTATGACCTAGAAACTATATCCCCCTATTACATATTAAAAAACTAAGGCTCTGAGAAATTCAGTTATTTGTCTACAGACATTCAGCAAGTGACTCCACTAGAACTTGAACCTAAATTTGACTGATTTAGAAAATTCTCTTTTGATTCTAAGTCTAGGACTCTGGGTCATTGACTCTGATATCTATTTTGGAGTCACCTGTTAGTAAGGCTGAAATAAAATTGTGGAAAGGATTAAATGTAATACAGTAAGTCCCCTACATACAAAGGAGTTCCTTCCGAGATCGTGTTCATAAGTCCAATTTGTTCATAAGTCCAAAAAAGTTAGCCTATGTATCCAATCGGCTATATAGTACTGTACTGTAATAGGTTTACTTTTCACACAAATAATACATAAAAAAACAAACAAACACAGAAAATAAACGTCTTTAATCTTACAGTACAGTACCTTGAAAAGTACAGTAGTACCAACTACATCACCGCTGCTTTTATGCTTGCTTCTGGACATCCTGGGCTTGAAATAAAGACACTATACTACTGTACTCTATACAGTACTGTACAGCAAAGTCCACAAAAGCACAACCACTTGTAGAGAATGTACGCACGTGACAATGTACACCGGATACGGGAGTTAACTTACATGACTGGACATGAGAACGCACGTTTGCATCTTTGAAAGTTCTCAAATTGAAGGTTCGTATGTAGGGGACTTACTGTACTGTATGTTAAAACACTTTGAAACCATAAAATAATATGTAACTATCAGAATTAGGTAGTATACAGTTTAAAGTAGTCCATAAATATTAATTTTATCCAAACCTCTGAATGACACTTTTAAAGGATACTCTCTATAGAAAGACAAGTTTTTTTACCATTAACCCTGATCATCTATACCTCATCAATCACCATTGAACTTTTTGGGTAGCATTTTTGATTTATTAAAGAGTCCTTGGGAATATAAATTTATGTAATTTGTGTTTTCTATATATAGAATCAATGAATTATGTAATATTTATTTCAACATCTGATGGGGGTTTTTTTTGTTTTTTTGTTTTTTTTTGTGGTACATGGGCCTCTCATTGTTGTGGCCTCTCCCGTTGCGGGGCACAGGCTCCAGACGCGCAGGCTTAGCGGCCAAGGCTCATGAGCCCAGCCGCTCCGCGGTATGTAATATCTTCACGGACCGGGGCACGAACCCGTGTCCCCTGCATCGTCAGGCGGACTCTCAACCACTGTGCCACCAGGGAAGCCCCATCTGATGTTTTTGATTATGGGGATGTGAACTCTGATCTAGGGCAAACAGTATGTTGCTTTTACCCCAATAACAGCTAATAAATGTCAGTGTAATTTATAGACATTTCCTTAAAAGTATATTTATTTAAAGAAGAAACCAAGACTGAGAAACAATCAGGGCAAGAGTCAACTCTCCTGAACATGTTTTACTGGAGAAATCTAGAGTTGATTGAAGAGACTCGTGATTCAGAAATTGGAACCCATTTAAAGCTAAGCAAAGAGAAGGCAAAATGCTACATGATTGCACAGATGGCCTATCTCTACTTCTGAGAAATATATTTTTGGGGATCACTTCACATGTCAAAAGGTAACCCCATTAAGGAGAACAAAGATCAACTTATCCTATATTGAGGGAAGATGAAGGGCATCTTCAATTCCCCTATTCACTGTGAAGAGGGAAAGAGCTCAGAGGGACAGCAGACATCCTGTCACAACAAATTAAGTATGTAGTTGGCTTTCTATGTCACAAACTCAGTTAGAGTGAAAATTATTTACAGCATTTTGAATGCAGGTGGGAAATAAATCTACAAAGATCCGTAACTAATGTGTGTGGAAATTCTTTCGTCTATTTATTTTTTCCTCCTTGTCCTTCTCCCCAGTATACTTGGAATGAATTGAAAATGGCAAAGAATCCAGAGGAATGAGTGTGAAAGTGTCGAGGCTCAGAAAAGATTGCTACAAAAACAACTACTCTCTTAGGACAGGAATGAAATAACATCTTGTGAAAAGATGTTCTTCAGTGCAAAGAATGAGGGCAAGTGAGTGGAAAATAGAAGATGCTAGGCATTAATTTCTACCTTAGGACTGTGCTTGGAGCTTGCAAAATATAATCTATAACTTGAAAAAAAAATCACAGTTCCTTAAAGATTCTGAGCATACTACCTATCTGAACCTACAGAAGATTGTTAAGCTCTACAAGTAAATGTTACTTGAGAGATTGATGGTAATGAATTTCTCTGCAGGGATCATTTTTGACTCTGTTGTGTCTTCCTGAGTGATGTTCACCTTAGCTAATGCTCTTCTTCCATGACACCAGAGGTTTCAAGTTTAGTTTTCATTTTCTGGGTCACTTTTTTGAATCTTTAAAATCTAAGACTTCTTGGAATCTCAGTGTAAATAGTACATTTCAAATAGTAGACTCAATTTGAATGAAAAATTAACATTGTTAAGGAGTTATTATAAAAAGATGGGGCTTTGGGTACTTGGAAAGTGTGGATCTACAGAGTGTATGGTACAGGGAGAAGAAGAGAGGAGAAAAAAACGTTCACAAAGATGAAAAGAATTCCTCCAAATATCGTTTTGTTTTCATGCTTTGCACTGTTGAAAGTCTGAATCTACTTTTGCATGAGGCAAGAGTTGCTTATTTTTAATACATGAAAATACAACTAAGATAACCATTCTCTTGATGGTATAGACAATTCCTGTAAACACACATATCTTGGAATCTGTATACGCCTAATATGCTGCTGTTTCAATATAAAATGCACATGTGTCTCCAGTGCATTGAATTCAATGTTCAGAGTACATGAGGTTTGCTATCTTAAAACAAGGATAGGGATTATGGCTATTTATGCTTAGTAGATACAGACATCATCAACACCACCAATTAGCAGAAGCAGTTTCTACTTGGCACAACTTATTTTTTTTTTTAATGATTACACAGTGTGAATTGAGGACTGTGTCCGAATCCCTCTCTCCTCTCGAATTAATTTGCCACATTCTAAATCCATAGATAAAGTGGTTCCGGAAGTGGAGCTGGTTGGATGGGTTTGCTTACACTGCAGTCCATAAAAGAAACAAAAAGGCTTGCATGCAAAAGAAATGAGAAAAATATAGAAAAAATGAATAAATCAGAAGCAAAAATGGGCGTTTAAATGAAAATTTAAATCAAATGAAGCTGGCAATTATGAGAAGCACATTAAAGCATAACATATACAAGCTTTTAGTTTTCAAATTATTTGCATAAACCAAGACACCTCAAGAGCAAATCGAAAGTTAAAGCAGATCAGTCCATTCTCCCTTTTACTTAGACAGTTTTTTCTAACAAGGTCTCTGAAAATGGTGCTTAATGTTCTCACAATTGCCTTGTAATTTTGGGAAAAATTTCAGGATGAAGCCAGGTTATAATCAATCATCCCCATCTCTGGGAACTTAAGGAGAGTTTCGACTTAAAGGAAGTGGGACTCGTATGAGATTATTAATGAAAACTGACTACATTATTTGTGGGGTCCAGAACAAAATGGAAATGTAGAGCCCCTTTTTCTAAAATTATTAAGAATTTTAAGACATTGATAGCTGAGCATTAAAGTAGGCCTGTTATTAATAGTTCATAGTTTCAAAATTCTAACAATACTTTTAAATTGTTTGGGTAACCAAATACTCTATAATGGGCATGAGCTTTGTGTTTTGTTTATTCTCATATGCCTATGAAGGAATTATCTTTAATCACCGTCATCTTATTCAGAATAGTGTAAGCTCTTGATGTGATTTTCATCAAAACTAAAAGTAACAGGCAAAAAATGGTTGACTGTTGAAATCAACGATAATCCTAAAATTTGGAAAAATAGATTCTTTAATATATTTTATCATCATTCTGTACTGTTCATCATTTTTTCTGGCAAATATTTTTGTGAATTATTCTTTTACAAAATGTACTTTGATAGAGGTAAATGCTCAGTTTCAAAATATTACATTTATATCTTTATCTAAATTGCTTTGCATTAGTACATGTGCTTAGTACCTACACTTAGGAGATGTAACATTTCTCTCAAAGATCTTTTTATATATTTTCCAATTTTGGATTTACTTCTTCCTTGCTCTATCTAGGGTTTCTATCTTAAGGGTAAATAACTGTTAGAGAAATTAACTGAGTTTGGAATTTTTGCACTGTCATTCCAAATAGTGATAATTGAATTTAGTGTATAAGGTGCTTCCTTCTTCTCATTAATAAATGATGTGGCTACAGTACCAGCAGCACCTGGCAGGGATTCAATAGCTCTTAGCTCTAACTCAAAAATGGCCATTCTGGGCATTTAGTTCAATAGACTGTTACAAAAAAAGGGCAAGCATCCTTTAAACTCCCAAACTTAAGAAAGATAATACAAACCAAAAACCACCCGGTCCTAGAAAGAGATGACTCACCTGCTCAATATCGTTGCTTTTCCGTGATTTGTATATAAATTCTCCAATGGCTACAAATACAGAAAGGACCAGTCCAGCAGCCAGAACAATGAAGATACCCCCAATATTTTCTACTCCCAGAGCACTGGCCTCTTTGTTATCTTCCTCAGGGCAGCCATTTCCCCGCCACCATTTCTCTTTCATCATATGCAGTTTCCCCTCTTCTTGTAATTGAAGAATAGCAATAGTAATTTTATCCCGGTAAGGAGAGCCTGTAAGTGAGGTAATTTGGATATTGGTCACCCAAAGGCTGAAGAAGATGTGAAGAAGGATTACTGTCTTAGGGGTAACTACTTTATGGCTGTTGGAAAACCCCAATCCATAAGTTGACTAGCAAAGGGCAATCCTATATTTTGAAGGATCTAAATAATTGGACAGCAAAAGGCTGACATGTTGAGATTAACTCTTAGCCACACTGTCTGTTCCTTTTAAACAAGGGAAAGCTGAGCTGGGAATTCCATGACATCCCACTGCTTCTGGTGAGTTTTTTATGAATCTTTTCCCACATTAGGGAATTTCATTGTTTAGATTCCACTTTTTCTAGGTTTTTGGATGTCTAATATTTTGACAGCCTGGCTAAATGATCACCAGTACCATTTCCTCTTCTTCCTATGGGAGTAGCTAGACATTTCCTAGTCTCCTTTACAATTCATTGTGGTGATTGACCGATTGCTAGCCATTGGAAGCTAAAGTGATGTATGACTATTTCCAGTCCTGTCTCATAAATCCTCCCAACATGATCCTCTACTCTTTCCCTCTCTTTCCTCAAATACTCAGCATGGGGGAAAGGATTTTAAGTCACTAGGAATACTGGAACCACCAGTTAGAAAGGGATTGGGTTCAAGGATGACTGCATGAAGCAGAATCTCTGTTTCAATCCACTGTTGGACCATGACAAGTTCAAGAAATAAATATGTATTGTGTTGGCCACTAAAAATTTGCAGATGTTGGTTATAGTAATTTGTCCATACTGACTAATACACCTATTAAGATACTCTTATGAGTAGGTTTTGAATAATTTAAACAACATTCAGCTAGGTTTAGAAAATTTACAAGCACTTTAATGATATTATTTATACTCTATTTTCTAGTAATGCCTTTGAACTTTTAATTATGTTAGGGCTAGAGAGCATCAACATGGTCCTGCAGCCACAGCTTGTCCAACAGTGGATTCCTATGTTAATTAAAATAAAGGAAGAAATTTTAAAAAAAAAGATGGTAAGATTTCTTTCCCTAATTTCTCCTTGGACACTAAGGATTTTTGTAAGTGTTTCTTCTACTTAGTAGGAAAGTAATACATTCTAGCTCTTTCTGTTTGTAAACTTTAACGTTCTTCTTGGTGGAAATAGAAAAATGCAAAAAAAGTAGCAAATAGAAAAATGTGGCATCTTAGAACCAGAAGAGATCTTAGGAACCATATAGTCCCAGCCTACTTATTTTTAGAATTGAAGAAATTGAGGATGTGAAGATATGGGTAAAAGTAATAGTTGCTGGTAGAGCCAAGAATTTAACTCAATTCTCCTAACTTCTCTCTTAGTGTTATTTTCATTAAAGTTTCTCCCTTCACCCCCATGTCATCTCCCCCATCCCCCTTATACCTTATGTTCTAGAGCATGGTTAGAAAAGCAGAAGATTAATATTGTGACATGTGTCATTTCCCCCATTCCTCCCAAGACTTCCTAAAGTCATTGTCAGTCCCTCAAGATCAAGTGTAAAAGAAGAGCAAAATGTTTTGGAGTTAGATTGTGGCTTATCAATTAAGAGTATGGATTTTTGGTGAGAAAATGGCTCTTGACAGCCAAATTAAAAGATATTGGCTGCTTGCTTAAACAACTTCAGAATAATGGTTAGTGTCAAAATTAGCACCATTAACAATAATATGTGAACAATTAAGTGAATCAAGAGAGCTTTGCTTTAATGTACGTGAAAGTGCTTTGAAGAGTGTGAGAATGATCCATAGGGTAACAATTGCAGCAATAATCATAGCAGTATACACAGTGGGTACTCAGTAAATGCTGACTGATGCTTTCCTTTTGCCTTCAGGCTGTACAATACCTAAAATATTTCAGGCAGATGGGGATTGGTTCTCTGTTTAAGGTGGGTCTCTAAGGAAGGTAATTTCCATCTCCTGGTAACCTGTTTAAGCCTTAACTGCTCTCGTTCTCTTCAAGTTTTATTTTAAGTCCCTCAGGAGGCACATTTCCAGAGTTTCTGTCCTGAGAGTCTCTAAGAAACAAAGTCTTCGATTTAGTGTTGTGACTGAGCAACTTTGCCAATCTTTGACTGTGAGAAGGAATTTTAAGCCTTAAGGAAGTCAGGGCAAGACCAGAAGTATGTGGAGAATTGTTTATATCTGAATATATTTTAGCTTCAATTTTTTTTGTTGTTGTTGCTTAAATGGACTGAATGACATTGGAAGTGATTTATTACAAGTCACTTGAAAAAAATACATATGTATATCACGGATCTTCCTGAATAGCAGCTGATCTTTCTTAAAGAATCAATTCATCATAGAAGAAACATCTCACAAATTTATCCAACAGCTGTATTCCCAATGGATGTATTCTCTCTGAGGTCTGCCATCTGTTCCAATTATTCCTTCATTGTTTTAGTTTTAAAAGGATGACAGGTTTATAACCACTATGAAAAATTCCTGGAGTGTATTTCTTTTCATCTAGGGAGGGGGAAAAACTCTTCAACTTTGGAATTTGTATGTCAGAGAATGCATGAGGTTGGCAAAATGTAGACTGAACTGGAATATTCAAATCTCTTTATATCATATTATATAAAATATAGTGATACTCATCACAGGGTCAGCCTCACTCACATGGAGGCAGAGTCATTTTTAAAGTGCTGCATTAATTTAGGAGTGTTTCTGAAAGGACCCCTTGATGCTTCCCCATTCCTCACCAATATTCCAATATTTTAACTTTAGAGTTGTATTTCATTCAGTAGAAGAAATGCCTATTAAAAGTCTCATATTATAGTGTAAATATTCTCAGAAGAAGTGGTACACATTGTTATTTTCTATCATTACTACCAGACTGGAAATTTGGTGAGCAAAGAGGGGAATTAAAAGGTGGTGGAGATGGAGCTGAGGATGGAATGGTAAAAGCACAGTTTTCAACTTTATAATTTAATCTAAAGATGGTTCCATTAAGAAACTATAGTTGTTTTTTCTAAGAAGACACAGAATATATTACAATCAATCATAAGGTCTTGATTTGGAAAAGATTCAGGAAAAGGCACCCAAATCCTGTTGTTCTTGCCTGACTCATGGTTCATTTAACTAAAATCAGCAGTGATGGGATATTAAAAAATAACATGTCTAGCTTCTTTCTCCAGTCCTAAAAAAAAAAAAAAAAAAAAAGAAGGGTTGTTGCTTGTGAGCTATTGTGAAGTGGTGGAAGGAGGGTTATAAAAAAAAATAAAAAAATAAAATGAGGTGATAAAGCCTGGTTAGGGAGATAGGACATTGTTTCTCAAATCAAAAAGAAGAATAGTAACCTTTTAGTTAGTGTCTAACAATCCCACTGAGTTCTCTGCAGAGCACACCGACTTAGTTTTAGGAGAGCTTACCACTTGAGAAAAAAATGTACACTTCATTTGCAATACTGGCATTTTCATCAGGAAAAATTATTGGAAATAAAGGGGCAAGAAGGTAGTTACAGGTTGCCTAGCCCAATCATTCTGAAGATTTATTTAGAGGACATACATAACAACTTATTTAGAGGAAAAGGAGATCTTACCCAATTGATATAAGTTAATTTCTTTATAGCATATATTTCTAGCATCAGATAGATTACATGGAGTCAAATTGGTTATGTATTCATGTTCAAAGGTGGAGAGAGTTGACTTTCTTTACCTGGTTAATCAAATTAGTATTGATCAAAAGTTGAATATGGGCTACATAATCTTTTTTAAAAAGTAAATTTATTGCCAAATTAAGCCATCAGGAGTATTCATGTAAAATCTGATTTTTTTTCATGAAAAATAGAAGATCTGATAATGTTGGACTCTAATTCCCACAGCTACTGACCTGAAAGGCAGTTGCCCCCTTTAGATGAGTATGTTGTCTCTAATTCTGCATACTTGCTACCATTCCCTACTGCTTCTTCAAACCAACAAGCTTTATTCAATTATACCTGCTTGGCTTCTGTAAGCATTTGAGTTTGCGATCCCTGTCTAGTGTTGAGGGAACTGGATAATCCCTTTCAACAGGTGAAAATAATAATATACCTTGGGTCCTTAATTATCTGATTTAACTGTAACTATGATTTCTTACTGGACTAACCCAGTGGTCTAAGATGGCCTCCAATTCTTCCCCTTGGGAATGCTTATCAGAAAATTACTGATGACTCACTTGAGAAGAGCAGATTGCTACCATATCAGAACCTTATACAATACAGTTTCTGTAGTGAGGGAAATAGAGAGTTTTCTATAGGGAGGTCAGTGTCCCTTGAATACAGAATATAGTTCTATATCCCAGACATGCAAGAAGAACTAGCTGTGTGGGTCTGTATGCCTACAAGGTAATAATATCCTTAGATTGAGCAGTGGTACAAAATCAAGGACTAGGAATATTTGGAGATTTTATTAATGATTGAATCTGACATATTGCCTGAGCAAATTATAATTTAATCTTAATCCTTTTTCTTCTGACAGATATAGTTTTGCTTTTCTATCTATTTACATAGAACACTAGCTCTTTAACTTTGTCATCTATATGTATAGTTAGTTTTGTTGTATTCTAATATAATTTAAGATAGAAAAAACTATACAGGCATATATAGGAACTGAAGAAAATAATGAGAAGAGTGTTAATTAGGAAGATATTCTTTTAACAATATTTGGGGTAAAATAAAATCTATGTACTCAAATGTATATGCAATGGTAGAACTTGAAAGAAACAATGAGTTAAAAGTTTATTAGGTTAAATATCTTGGAATCTTCAATTCAGAGCATGCCTATGATCTGTACTGCCATTTCCCTTATTTATTAGTCCACTGAAGGCATTGTAGACTTTCTCAGAATGTAGAGTAGATATCTCTGAGCCCATTCCTTTCTATACTTTGTAACTGACATTGCCCATCTCAGTCTTTCCTACTGCCTTGCCTCTCTTACCTATAGGTGTTCCCACTCCATAACCTTTGGAGTCAATGAGGCCCCCGATCTGAGTAAGGTTGCAGTTTCTCTGCGTCACATACTCAATGTTGGTGGACTCCATCAGCAAGGCATAGTCAGTGGTGAGCACACGTTGGATGCCCTCATCACTGTTTTTGACCAGGGCAGTCTGCTGCCTGCTACTCATAAAAGCCCACATCTTCTCGTAGGTGGATATCTTCGATTTCTGCAGGGAAAGAAAGCACACCCACCAGCAGAGAGTGCTGAGAAAATATGTCCTAAAGCTATTCAAAACTCCTGGGGTTCAAATAGCATAGGGAGGATTCTTTCTCTTTAGGTAGGAAACCGGTATTGATGATCCTGGGACTTCAGTTTGGTAGTTGAAAGGAGCCCAATTCACTATAGGAAAACCTTTGGAGGCACTGAGGCAGCTGTAGAGGAAAAAGAGATCTTACCCAACTGATGTAAGACATTGCCTCAAGATCCTTTGGCTGATTTCAGTAGGGAAGAAAGAAGATTAGTATCAATGACAACATTTGCCTAAGGAACTCTGGCCACTTAAGAACAAGTCCTCAAGGCCCACTAGGCCAAGGGGTGACTAGATCACCCCAAGACTCTACTCATTTTTTCCATTGCCTTCAACGACTTAACTTCAGTAGACATTGTTTTGCTTTTTTCTTGTATGTAAGTTTTAATACCTGATCCAACATTCCTTTGCAGGGGACAGCCTTGGGATAAATCACATACCTTCTCTGCTTTATTTATGAAAGAACTGCCAATTACTCTTATCTTTTCTAGAAAACTTAGAGTGCAAATGCTCTTTTCATATTAAAATTCAGATCAGAAAACTCTTCCTACTATATTTTTATAAGTCTTTTTATATATACATTCAATTTTAAATTGCAATTATATTTTAGATAATGAGGACTGAATTTTCATTTGAAAGTGTTCATGATTTTGTCTTTTCCTTTATTCTTCAGCTTCTTGATTCAGTAATAAGCCATACATATGGTATATATTACATATGCCTCTATACCTTCCACTATCTCATTATCTTACTTTCTTTGTTAAAATATACTGCCTAAGTTTTCATATTGCTTAGGTATAAATTTTCTATTCTTTTGAATAGTGATCTGTAAATAGTTTACATTTAATTCTGTAATTTCCATATTGTTCTAATTTTTTTCTGTATTTGTCTTCATTTGCATCAACACTCCCCTCCATTTATTTGGAAGATGGAAGAGATTATGAGAATTACTGATAATTCCAAGCTACTCCAGCTCTTGCGTTGTATATGGTACACACGCGCACACACACACACACACACACACACACACACGAGCTTCCTTGGAAGGCACAGAGCTTATCATCTCAGGAGTGCAAGGAAGTTTAAAACATGATTTGGGGCCACAGCAATAAATGGAATACCTGTGGAATAAACTACAGTGTGGTTATTCATGGTCAAGTGTTCCTGAAGGCTCATTCAGTTCCGAACTCTATTTAAGACCTGGGTTAACGCTGTAGGCTTTATGAGTTAAGGGAGGGCAGATAGCTTTATTTTGGATTGTTAGGTATTTGAAGAACCCCTTGAGAAAGGTCTTGTGAGACAAATAGCAATTCAATATACAGTACCTTATAGATACTGGTATTTTATAGAAACCATTTTGTCATGATTAGGCCCCTGTGAATTACTCCTCATCCCCACAGATATCTGAAAGTTTAGGTTCATGTCTCCATTGAAAAGGTATGTTTTTGAGGTAGGGTTCAATGCCTCATTTGTTGGGTAATTTTAGCCTGGAAGAGTCTGTTAATGCTAAATTTATAATAAAGAGCTACTTGTACAAGTGCACGGAGGTCAGTCTGTCTTTTGGCAGTAAACGCACTGCTGGGAAAATTATTCTTCTACCAGGAAACCACCTTAAGGGAAAATAATTTTCTTAGAATTATGAAATTTTATGGTTGATGGAAACTTTAGAAATTGGCTCATTCATGCTGTTTACACAGAGGGGGAATTTGGTACAGAAGATTTGGAGAGTTCATGAAAATCACAAAACTCGTTAGTATCAGAGCTAATACTGGACCTCTGGACCCCTGACATCTAATTCAATGCTCTTTCCACTGTACTATGCTGATTTGGGGTAGGTGAATGTCAATCTTGCCAAAATTCTTCTGAGAATGATCTTAGTCTTATTTGATCTACCTGTGACAATATAGCTTATATTCATGAACTCATGCCCTGAGGTTGTTTGCTACTTGGTATCATGTTAATCCAGCTAGGAGTTAGCTTTCATATAAAAAATCCATAAAACATCTATTTTTTCCACTGTATTTAAATTTTATTAAAAATGAATTTTGTAAATAGTTAGAAAACTGTATTTTTTGGTCTATGGGAGTTGAGGACAAAACAAAGTAAATGATCATGTTCATTTATGGGAAACAAAGTGAGAGGAGTGCTTTTAGGAATCCAGGAATTGAAGGACGTGGAAAAGGATGATAAGATTCAACTCAAAACCTTCACATCAGCTATTGAGCCTAATCAGGTGTGGTTCTCAAGTTACCTGCAGTGAAGGACTGTGCATTTTTCATTCCATGGCAGACCTATCTGCATGCATGGCAGAACTATCTGTGGTGCTACCAAGTGGGATTAGTATGCACTCATACCAGACGTGGCTCACCATGTTGGCACTTGACAGCCCTCAAAGTGGTCTACATTCTTGGAACCGTATCCATTAATCGTGTTCTTTTTCTTTTTAATTTTGGGTCTTTGTTGCTGCGCATGGGCTTTCTCTAGTTGTGGCGAGTGGGGGTTACTCTTCATTGTAGTGCACGGGCTTCTCATTGCAGTGACTTCTCTTGTTGTGGAGCACAGGCTCTAGGCACGTGGGCTTCAGTAGCTGCAGCACTTGGGCTCTGTAGTTGTGGCATGTGGGCCCTAGAGCATGAGGGCTTCAGTAGTTGTGGCTCACAGGGTCTAGAGCACAGACTCAGTAGTTGTGGCACACGGGCTTAGCTGCTCTGCAGCATGTGGGGTCTTCCAGGGCCAGGGATTAAACCCATGTCCCCTGCATTGGCAGGCGTATTCTTAACCATTGCGCCACCAGGAAAGTCCCTCATTAATCATGTTCTTGGTGCCACCACAATATCCAAGAGCTACAGAACTTCTAACGTCTTACTCTCAATTTCTTTTATCTCATCACAGCTTAGTAACACAATGTTCCCTGAGTCAACACGTTTGTGTTGACCACCACACGTTAACTAGCACTGCTCTGTGGAGCTGAAGGTCATGGATTTAATTCAACCACACTTACTTCTTCCTTTTTGGAGTAGAAGGTTGTTCTTGGCTTGAACTGCCTGAGGTACTGGAAGAGAAATCTAGCAGGCATGGAATTTGAACCACTGAACAGCAGAACTTTTTCTAAGAAAATGATCACTTGGGGCACTTGCTCAAGTTGAAGGCATAGGGAACATTCTAAATTTCTTTGACACCCTCCTACTATTTTTGCTCCAGTCTAATAATGGTAACATAATGGGACAGAGAATAACACCCTTCTGCTTTTATTTAAAGTTCTCTTTCATCATTTAGAAAGTTTGCTGTTGTGGGGATCCATTGTATTCTTCATTTGAAATTATAGACTGTTTGACAAGCTGGGGAGCTTAGATAAATAGGAAGACCCAGAAAGTGGCTAAGGAATAACCTTTTTAACAGTTAAAAATATCTGTAGATGGCTCAAGCACCTTAGGATATGGTGAGTTTTCTACTACTGGAAACGTACAAGAAGAATTTCATGGATGGATGAGTTTCACTTAAGGATCCTTCAACCCACAGGTTCTACTCACTAGACCAACCTTTTCATATTACTTATGCAGGTCCTGACTTCAAGGACAGTTAAATGCCACCCAGGGGTCATATTTGTTAGTGAAAGAACCAATACAAAGTCATGGCCTCTTTCCTCCTTATTCTTGAGTTCCATCCACTGTCAAACCATGTTCTGTAATGTTTATTTTTTGTTTGGTCAAAAAGTACTATTCTTAGAGTAGTTAAATTAGATTTATTTCTTTTTCATAGACTTTTTAAGACAGATTTTAATAATTCTTAAAAATAGAAGCATACTTCATGGGACATTATCATAAATATTAAAAGACTTAGCAAACCATTTGAATGAGTGTGGATGTTTCTGCACTTGTAAATCTTCTATAGTCTCAGCCTGCTAAATTGCTCTAAATGATATATATTTAAAAAGAAGAAACAGTGATTGCAACTTATTTCACTGAATATGTCAAACGTGAATTAGAATATTTGTAAAGTACTCTGAGCTTCTTATCAAAAGTCACAAAAACTGAAAAGTCCTCATTTATTAAATCTGAAATCATCCAGGTTTTTTTTTTTTTAATCCTAGAGGGGAGTCAAGGTCAAATGCATTTACTTTGTCTGGTTAAACCTGATTACGTGGCTATTCTGATGCTGATGAAATGTTGGCAAAGAATAAGCATTCTTTTCATCTAAAATCTGTTATAAGGGAGTATTACTGTATCACCATCTGATGACTGTTGTTTATTTCTCTTTTTTCTCCCATAATGCATTCAAGTTAAACACTCAATGGGATATAATTTACAATGGGTCTCTGTGCAGTTAAAAACTATTTATTGAAAATAGTAATAATAACCAGCATGTGCAGTGTTTACTGTGTGCCCAAAACTATTCTAAGCACTTTGCATGTATTAATCTATTTAATCTTCACAGTGTTCATATGAGAAAGATACCATTATTATTTCTCCTTTACAGATGAAGAAACAGAATGCCACATAAAGAAATGATGAAGCCAGGATTTGATCCCAGCAATCTGGCTCCAGGGTTTATGTTCTTAACTAATAGGGAATCAACTGTTTGTTTTAATACACAGAACATCAAACTTATGACTCGGCTAATGTTTTAACATCACTGACACATTTTCTTAAGAAATAATTTCAGTAAATAGCTGTGGCATCTTTTCTATTATAACTAGAGCTGCTGAAAATCTTGTAGTCATGACACAATGCATGGAAACAATTTATATGAATTTAGACTGCTTATATTTGTTTAGACAAAAAAATTAGACAGTGTTTTAGGAAGTGCAACAGTTGGAACCTGGAAGGAAATGTAGATATTGTTTATATTTTTCCTTATTTTGTATTTCATATAGTTCCATTGTTTTCAGTTTCAGGGTTTCTGCTATAACAGGAAAAGTA